CCGCGCGGGTGGGTAGAAAATTGGGCGCCCAGCCGACGCCCAACTTCGCTGGATCCCTTCCTTCCGGCGTCAATCCGCCGGAGCCCGCGAGGTCTGTCGCCTGCGGCGTGCGCTCTGCCCGGAGCCCCCTTGCCTACACCTGCCGGGAGTGGGAGGACTGCACGGGGGCCAAATCTTTCTTCTGGGGAAACAGGACCACCAGGGAGGGGCTCAGGGACCCCGAGGCAAAGGAGGTGAAGGGCCGGCCGAGTAGAGAGTGTGTGGGGGGGGGGGCGGTCCTAACTTCCATCGCCCCGCGTGCTGGAGCCTGTCCCCCAGTTTCTACCTGCAGGTGTTTCCTGGCCGCCAGTGACATGGGCAGTTTCATGGACGACCGCCCACCCGTAGACCCTGCTGGGCCGCAAGGCCTCCTCCTTATGCGCCCAAACAAAGAAATAAAATGCTGTGTGACGTTTTGGAACGAGTCCGGTCCCTAATGGTTCCGTGGTTAACTGTGGAACTTGAGGTTTGGAAGGGGCTTCGGGGGTGGTTCAGTGATGCCAGATTTTAACTCTGAATGTAGTCAAAGACTGAAAGAGACTCACCCTGTATTTCCCTGTAGTAATTTATCTTGATAACATGGCTTGCTGTCCAAAAACTAAGCCGGCTGGTGCGTTGTGGCAGCAGTTGAAGGTTGCACAGCATCCAGCGTCACCTAATTATACATCAGGCAGAATAACAAAAAGTGAACCTCAAGATAAAAAGAACTTAACATTAAATCTAAAAAGAGAAAGCACAGGAGGTGTGATAAAATCTGATGTTAATTATTAGGCAGGCACAAGAGAAGTGGGCACACATAAAAGATAGTTTGCAACACGATTATTAGAGTCATTTCTTTCTAGGTTAAAGAGTCATGTATCTCAGTCATGGAAGGCATGCCCTTACATTAAAAGATCATTAAACCTGATGCTTACAGAAATTGAGCCACTTTAACTTTATGACTGTTCACAAATTCTTACTTCCCAAGAACTCTGATCTGTTTAGAGCGGAATCTAGCTCATGAAAGGGTTTTTTATTTGTTTTGTTTTGTTTTTTTAATGGTTACTTAAAGGAAAAGAATTCAGTACACTGTGAATTCTGTTACGTGAAGGCTTGGATTAATTTCCCATGGCTGCTGTAACAAGTACATCTAACTGGCTTTGAGATAACAGAACTCTATTCTCTCACAGCCCTGAAAGCCAGAAGCCCACAATCAAGGTGTGGGCCAGGCTGCACTTCCTCTGGAGACTCTGGGCAGAGACTCCCTTCTTGCCCCTTCCAGCTTCTGGTGGTGGCATTACTTAGCTTCCTTGGCTTATGGCCACATCCCTCCAATCTCTGCCTCTGTCTTCATATTGCCTCCTCTTCTCTCTGTCTGTGTCTTCTCATTTTCTGTGTGCCTCCTAATGACATTTGTCATTGGATTTAGGGCCCACCCAGATAAGCCAGAATTATCTCATTTTAAGATCCTTGATTAATCTGCAAATATCCTTTTTTTCCAAATTCATTGAATATTGTTCCCCAAATAGTTATGTCTACCTGGAACCTCAGAAGGTGACCTTATTGGAAAGTGAGTCTTGCAGATGTAATTAGTTAAGATGAAGTCATACTGGATTAAGACGGGTCCTAAATCCAATGATTCGTTTCCTTGTAAGAAGGTCATGCACATGAAGGAAGACTCACAAGAGACAGAAGAGGAGAAAGTCATGTGAAGCTGGAAGCAGAGATTGGAGTGATGTGTCTACAAGCCAAGGATTTGCCTTAGAAACAACCGCCAGAAGCTGGGAGAGAGGCATGGAACGATTTTCCCTCCGGGCCTTCAAAAGGAGTCAACCCTGCGGACACCTGGATTTCAGAACGTTGGCCTCCTGAAGTGTGGGATAATAAATGTTGTTTTAAGCCATCCAGCTTGTGGTACTTTGTAAAGGCCACCCTAGGAAACTTACACAGTGTCATTCACAGACTTCTCCATTGCTCTCTTTAATTCTATCACTTCTTTCTCGCTCATTTTTCTTCCCCTGTCATTTTTTCTGTGCCTGGCCTCTTCGCCTCAATTTTTCTTTTTGTTACCCATGCCATTGCACTTGAAATCATGCCAACCAGACGGTATAAAGCATGCTTCTCTAAAAGACATATGATACACATTCTTTAATAAATATTGTATTTGTTTATTGAACAAATATTTAATGTGCCTCCACTGTGTGCCAGGCAGGTGTGGCTCAGTGCTGCTCATTCAGTTGTGGACCAAAAAAGACACAAAACCTTGCCCTCAGGAGCTTATAGTCTTGAAGAGGAGACAGATGTAAACAGATGATATATAATTACAAATTGAGATAGAAAAAGAACAGGATGTTACACATCATCTAGATGGGGAGGGCCTCCCTGAGATCTAAAGGATGCCAGGCAGGTGGGAGAAAGTTACTGCTGAGCAAAGAAGAGCTTGACACCATGGAATTCAAAGACCAGGGTTAATGAAGAAACAGGGATGTAGGAAGGGTGGAGAGCTAGGCAGGGTTCAGATCATGTGTGACTTCTCATGCTGTGGTAAACGACTTGGAGTTCACTAAATACTATAGGAAGCCACAGAAGGATATTAAACCAGCTAGTGATGGCATGTCTCATTTTTCTGGAGAGATTACTTTAGAAGCAGAGGGACAAAGAGTACAGGCAGGAGTACTAAGTCAATGGAGCAGGAAAAGGCAATTCGTATAAGAACTGTTAAACAGGAAGAATTAAAAAAAATGATGGTCATCTTTAGAGCAATGGTGAACCAGTCTGAAATGACTCCCAGAATCTGTCCGATAGATGCCAGTGCCATCCACTCAGCCAGGGAGTCTACAAAGTAGATTTGGGCACGAGGTTACAAATTCAGTTTATGTCTTGTGTTCAAGGCCGGTGGGGATTGTCAATAGAGATGTCCAGAAGGCAGGTGGAATGGAGGCTTGAGCTCATGAGAATGGAGTTGCTGTAGCTCTGGGGTTCTTCAACAACAGATTATGAAAACTATAGGCATCAATGTAGCAAATATTTTCTTTAAACTGTTTTCCATTGGCTATTCAGTCTCTTTGTGACTCAATACTTACAATATTTATCAATGTTTACTATGTGCCAAGAACACAGTACACCTTATGATTGCTCTCATGGGCTTTATGTTTAACAAAATGGTGGTGGGAATTCTATCTCGTGAGGCTGTTGAAAAGAGTCTTTGGGATAGTATATGTGACAATATTTATCAATGTTTACTATGTGCCAAGAACACATGATTGCTCTCATGGGCTTTATGTTTAGCAAAATGGTGGTGGGAATTTTATCTCGTGAGGCTGTTGAAAAGAGTCTTTGGGACAGTATATGTTCATTGCCTTGCCTGGAACAAATGCTCATTTATTCAACAAATACATATTGAGCTCCTACTTCATGCTGGGCATTCTTCTAGATCAGTGATGGCGAACCTTTTGAGCTCGGCGTGTCAGCATTTTGAAAAACCCTAACTTAACTCTGGTGCCGTGTCACATATAGAAATTTTTTGATATTTGCAACCATAGTAAAAGATTTATATTTTTGATATTTATTTTATATATTTAAGTGCCATTTAACAAAGAAAAATCAACCAAAAAAATGAGTTCGCGTGTCACCTCTGACACACGTGTCATAGGTTCGACATCACTATTCTAGATACTGGAGTTACAAGGAACAATGAGAGACAAGATCAGCTTTCCTTGGTAATACCATAATGGCATAAAAAGAAAAGTAACAAGTAGTGATGAGTGTTATGATAAAAATAAAACGGGCCACATGATAAAGTAACAAGGAGGCTACTGTGAGTGGAAAGTCTTTCTAAAGGGGCGCAATTTAAGCAGAGACCCCACTGAAACCCCTGGTGGGGGAAATGTCCATGATGCTAATGTCTTGGAGATGAGCACTTTAGGCAGAGGGAACAACTGGTGAGCAACCCGTGAAAATGCTCTAAGATGGGAATGATCCTGGCATTTGTATTAGTTTCCTGTTGCTGCTATAACAAATGACTTCCACTTCGTGGCTTAAAACAACACAAATTAATTCTCCTTCAGTTCTAGGGCTCACAAGTCCAAAATGGATCTCACCAGGCTAAAAACGTGTCAGCAGGTCTGCCCTACTTTCTAGGTTTCTAGAGGAATTCTATTTCCTTTCCTTTTCCTGCTTCTTGGGGCTGCCTGCACTCCTTGGTTTTCTGCTCCCTTCATCTTCAAAGCCAGCAATAGCCCAGCAATATTTAATGTATTCCCCGCATGGTGACTGGACACAGTAGAGTCTGATGACTTCCACTTCGTGGCTTAAAACAACACAAATTAATTCTCCTTCAGTTCTGGGGCTCACAAGTCCAAAATGGATCTCACCAGGCTAAAAACGTGTCAGCAGGTCTGCCCTACTTTCTAGGTTTCTAGAGGAATTCTATTTCCTTTCCTTTCCTGCTTCTTGGGGCTGCCTGCACTCCTTGGTTTCCTGCTCCCTTCATCTTCAAAGCCAGCAGTAGCCCAGCAATATTTAATGTATTCCCCGCATGGTGACTGGACACAGTAGAGTCTGTGCTTATGAGAGAGTCTCCTTGTGTTTGATCAGCTCTGGGATGTGGTCAGGGAAACAGCCTGAAGGGTAGTGAGCCCATGTGAGTGGAAATTTAGTCTCTATTCATTCTTGGGTTCAAACCAAACAAGTAGTTGTTTCCATGTGTTTCAAGTTAGCTGTTTATGCTGTAATAATTTACCCAAACCTCACCAACACTTTTGCATCCTTGTGAGGCTCCTAATTAAATCCATTCCCACATCTTCCATCCAGAATATCTTAGGTCTTAGCATGGGCTTAAAAGGGTAGTGAGCCCACCACAGTAAGTATCTTCTTAGTGGCCAGCCAGGTGGTCTAATTCAGGTAACTACCCAATTGTAGTTGGCCATTCAAACCCCAGTAAGTACTATTTTACAGATGTGAACATGAAGAAAGATAAAGTAAGTTTTCCCCATGACCGGTAAGTGGCAGAACCAGGCTTCAAACCTGGGTAAGCTAGACCTCAGGAGCCCGGGCATCTGAACCCTGGGCACTGTCCCATAGTGATTAAAAGTTTATATCCAAGCATCCAGCTCCTCAAGTTAAAATCCTAGCTCTACTACTTATTGCAATACCCATGTGACTCTGGAAAGTCACTTGACATAGTCTCAGTTTTCACATCTGAAACGGGGAATACCTCTTATGGGCTGTTAGCATGATGAGTAAACGTATCAGAAACATAACCAGTGTTAAAGATATTGTGATATTGCCTCCCCAATATCTTGATCCACATAATATCTTACATCTTTTATGAAAGCTTTTCCTGCTCTCTTGTTGTAGTGACCATAAAGTTATGTGTGTACATACTTTACTACGACTAGATTGGAAGCTTCTCAAGACTAAGAATTGTGGGTGTTTTCATTACCATCATCCACACCAGCTAATAATATTTGATAAATGTTTGTTGATTTGAATAGTTGATGTAGAATCAGCGTTACAATGTAGAGAGAGAGAAAAAAGCAAAATCTATCTTACGGTAGGTGATACAAAAGGTGTGTTTTATGATTCTTTAACTGTACTCAAGGTCTGGATAGCTGCAGGGTATCCTAGGAGAAGGTGGCTGTTGCAATGTAATAGGTGTCACAGGATGGAAGTGAGATGGTAGTAGATGGATGCAACAATGGACCGGGAGTCCAAAAAATCTGTGTTCTAGCCGTGACCCTGTTCTCATTAGCCAAGACCTCCAAGTGATAAGTAACAAGTTTCTTTACCAACTCAAAAGGACTCACATAATAAATAAACCTAGTGTTTATACATTCAGGTTTCTCCTTACCACCTAATCAGGCCTGATTGGTAAACCTAGAATGATCATGTATGGTTAAGAAATATGGCTTTAGGATCACTTGTTGATTTAGTCATGTACTCAAATAATTCAACAAATATTAAACTGCTTTCCAATTTCAGCAGTTTTATTTACTAGCCATTTACTTTGGGCAAGTAACATAACCTCTCTGTGATTTGGTTAAAAAGTGCCTCATGGAGATGTGTCCCAAAAGTGCTTATGTAAAGTATTTAGATTGGCAAGGAGTACATGCTTAAAAATGGATGGTGGTGATGGGAATTATTGTTGGTAATGTTTGTTTAGTTGTTCTGTGTCAGAAGTTAAAATATTCCTGGATCAGTTTATTGTTTCAGTTTTATATCATGCTGTCAAATCACTTGTTTGGTAGCACATGTCCTGAGTGTCAGCACAGCCAAACCATATGTTTTGGGTCATATATGCGTGAGTGTTTAGTGTTGACACAGCATAAATATCTCCAATGACGATATAAGTATGGTCTTGATTAACAGAGTCCATGCCAGGCACATGAGTCTCTGAACCTAATAAATATCTGATAACATGAAGTGAGTGATAGATGAAAAACAAGTGAAGAATTTAAAATTCAGTCTCTATTCATTCTTGGGTTCAAATCAAACAAGTAGTTGTTTCCATGTGTTTCCAGTTAGCTGTTTATGCTGTAATAATTTACCCAAACCTCACCAACACTTTTGCATCCTTGTGAGGCTCCTAATTAAATCCATTCCCACATCTTCCATCCAGAATATCTTAGGTCTTAGCATGGGCTTAAAAGGAGATTGGAAGTTCAGAACTCCATTCAGATAACTTAAATAAAAGGCTATTATTCTGGCGATGCATAGAAATAATTTAGGTGGTAGTGTTTGGTTCAATACTCAACCCCTGTAAATTATTTATCACTGGTGGATAATTTGTGAAAATTATATAGGGCATAGTGATATTATTTATATTATTTTTTTTCAGAAGTTAAATAAGTCATCGTATTCTTATTCATCACTGAAACAATTACAAATTAAACGAAAAGACCCATAATTACATAATCATTGACATGCCATGTAATCTTTGAACTAACACATTTAAGAACAACTGTTTTGATCAGAGAATGTTTTTTATACTAGTGGATATTGCTAGATCTAAAATGTTACCATGAAAGGAAATGCTGACTTATTCTAAATAGAACAAAGATAAAGATATATAGTGGCCTTGCCAATTACAATAGTATCTATGAATAAACACA